TTTGTAATTCATTTTGTTTTTATACAGTTCCTGTCATATACTTTCTTACATATATTTAAAAATTGCTCATATGCTTTATCTAAGTCTTCCTCTCTGTAAACTGATTCCCAGTTTTGCCCCATAAAATCCTCTTTTAGCCTCCTTACAGCATGCTCATTCGTCACCCTCCTAGTCACACACTCCAGCAAATTATCCACCACCCTTGACATTTTCTCCACTTTCTTATAACAAAGGTTTTTATCTATGTACAAGGCCACACCACCTCCCATCTTATTCTCTCTGTTTGTGCATACCAACACTGACAGATGCTACAGGCACTGAGTTTCATCAAGTTTAAAATGTGAATTTCTGTGTCCACTCACCATCATTGAGGTCCTGTAGCAGGTTCTCCTGACCAGAGAAGTCCAGCTTCACCTTGATGTTGACAGCCAGTGTCACAGACTGGCCAGGCTTTAGAGGCAGATGAGACAGAGCGTCCTCTAGCTCCCAGCTCAGAAACTCTCCAAACACTTTGTCTGAACAAACAAAAGAGAGACAGAGGCAAATTTTAAACACAAACCAATGAAATAAATAATAACATACCTGCTGGGATGAAAGACATCAAGACTGTCCAAATGAACATTTTAATATCTCCAGATAATTATGGACAAGAGAAACACAGTGACAACCTCAGTGGGAAGAGAAACTGGCTCATTTTACCCACTGCAGGTTTCCTATGACAAAGAAGATCAGTACTACTATGACATTTCTTTCGCAATTTGCTTCCTGGTGTAACAAAGCTACTGATTGGCGTCCTGTATCATCAAGTCCTTTTGGTGCCTGTTACCCGACCTGATGCTCTAATTTATGCCTCCAAACCTGTTTACCTGAGACAAATGCGTCAGCTGCATCCACTTCAGCCAGGAGCATCAAATGAATGACATCACCTGCATAAAGCACGTGTTCTGTCTACGCAGGTGAGCCGCTCCTGCTCTTAGGGATTGCATGCTGATTTTAACAGACGCACAACAGAAGGGGAAACGCAAACTCACTGTAAAAACACCAGCTTACACACCTTTGCTTGATTCATAAAGACTTTAAAATCCTCCAAGAGGATGTGGGTAGCATTAAATAAAGACTTTGTGAATAATGTTCCACTTTAAACATTCATTAACTCAGAGCTCCATGTAGTGAATTAAAAGAGAAAAAGGGAGGAGGGGGACAGAGAATGAAGCAATGAGGAAATTATTTAAAGGAAATGGGAGTGGGAAGAAAAGAAAAATCATTCACTTTAATATGCAACAGCAGACTCCTAATTCAACAGGTAGACAGCCAAGATTGTGGATGACATTACAGTCTTCATCAGACTAAACCATGAGTCACAAGAAACGGCAGCCACAATGAATTTCAAGACATCTGTCATACCTTATTTAAAGTACTAATCAGGGACATTCCTATTCTTGAAAATGCAATATGGAGATTATGCCAGTGGTGCTCAAGAGCGGATATGAAACAAACTCTTGTTCAAAGACTGTCCAGAACACTTAGGCTAGCTTTTCCTATTTTGCACTTGAGACTGCCCCACTCTTCTTCCTCCCTCAGCCATCCACCTGCTAGAAAATGAAGCGCAGGGGCACTGCAGTGGACCTGTAAGGTGTGTAATACAGGCACCACGGAGGATAATATCAGAAAAATGAAATAGTGTGTAACTGCTTATTGAGGATAATATAAAAAAAAATGAAATAGTGTGTAACTGCTTATGACCACAAACTACAATAACACTTCCCATTTAACATCATGTCAAAAAGTAATTAGTGAACAAATTGCTCAAGGTGTAGAGAAGTGAACCAATCAACAGTGTCAACATTAGGCATGAACTAGCACAAATGACAACACTGAAGACAAACATCTGTCTTCTATACACCTCTATACGCTCAGTTGCACAAAATATATTCCCAAAAAAATAGAAATATCCAAAGAAAGCTATGGAACATTCCCTCAGATGGCAGTGTTATTAGTTACCTGCAATATATCCTCCCTTCATGAAGGTAATAATGTAGAACTTTTGCTGAAACTGTATGATCATTATGGAAGATAGGATATGCTGCTGCTGAATTGTATTCGGTTCTGCTATCAGGAGTTTCTTTTCAGTTCACTCTTTTTATATAAAGGATGGTAGAAACACTTCTCTCTATATTCTTTTGAAAAACATAACTGGATCTTGAGATTTTTGCCACGCTATGTCTGACACTTTCCTAATTTTCTGTACCAATATCCAATCAGTGTACTTTCCTGCACCCTATTATAACAGAGGGGCTCTGTCAGAAAGATGAACCACCTCTACTTACAGTACTATATCAGAAAAAACTATTGCACTTTTACATAGCTCAACTTGGAGCTTCAGAGAGAACAAGCAGTGTCACTATATAAAATACAGCAAGACATACAAATTTAATGAAAGATGGCAATGATTAGAACCATTTTTACTTCTATCACAAGAATAACAAAATGTGTTTACAGAGCTCCTCTGTAAAACCAAGTTTACAAAGATAAAAAAAAAACACAAAGGCTAATAGAAAATCAAATAAAAAGAAATGCATCAGATTCACCTCAGGAGACCACACTGTTACACTTTAGCATGTGGACTGCAGGCACCGAGATTCGAACCTTCAACCTGGGAGACGACTGCTCTACCCACCGCACCACTGTCGACTCCCCCCTATGAACATGTTAGCTCTAATGCACAAAAAGATAATAGATTTTCTGATACAAACACGCAAATACTTTACTATACTATACTTTACTATATGTGAGCCAAAGAACTACAAAATAAGCAGCATACGGAAACCGATACAGTCAAAGTAGGACTGCACAGGCAGCTGTCACTCAGCTTTGCTCATGACAAACAGCAGCAATAAAACAAATCACTGCAGGAATATTAATCCCTTCTATTCCTTTTCTATGGGATTAAGATAATTTTCATATGAAGGGTCTTAGAGGACAACTGAACCAAACCGATGCTTATATCTACAGAAGAGCAATAAGGAAGCAGCAATGAACCATAAGTCAGATGGCAGCTTATTTTCTGTTGTATGGAAAATCCTTTTGTATTTACTCTTATTTAGATGAAATACAACTGATTATTGTAGTAAGGGTTTGTTTTTGTCAACCATAAAGCTTTTTATATTTTGTGTATTTTTGAAAAACTGAGCTCTTATCTCATATTTCAAGATGGCTGTGACTGTTCTATGGCAGAAAGAGTTTGTTTTGCCACAGATGTTTCGCTATCGTGACTCATTTTTATTCATTTAGTTTCCACAGAGAATGAAAAGGGCTTCAGAGAGGTCCTCTCAACTGTGGTCTGTTTATTTAAGTGACTTTAGACTGGCCATTAAACCTGATGGTGCTTTAGTGGCCTCTGCCTATAAGGAGGCAAAGGCAGGTGGGGATGAGGTCATATGAAAATCAAAGATGGTTCAGTATGGCCTGTCAGCGTGATGCTACAGCTTCTATCGCTCATGCATTAAGGGATATTGCCACTACCTAACTCACCGGGCATCAGACATAAAACAATATGTTAACAAAAACAGACCGCGTTTCCACCCATGCTGAAAACATTTTTTTTTTTTTTAAACTCAAGGTTCCACATTCGATGCTTTGAAGAAACTTGTGCCCACAGGTCATAAAATAGTAGCCAGCTTTACATCCAGATTTTAAACATTTTCTTTTCTTTTCACTTTAATTTTAAATGTAGGTATTGATACTAATCAATTCAATTAAATCTGATTAAACTCATGAGAACTAATTTACATCAGATAAATACCAGTGTTGCATGAGTTGCTTCTCAGAATCTTGGCAGCTTACTGTACATTTTTTTATACATTCAACAAGTGAGCTATACTTGATTATAATTATTTAAAGCTAACATTACATAAAGTTTGAATTACTTCCACATGATAATCATCAATAATCAATTCAACACAAGGTTAAAATCATGATTATGCTAAGTCGCTAATGTTATGAAACAAATATGTTAACATTAGATTCTAACACATTCTTAACGCATCCAGAAGGAAGAACACCACATCTGAAACAGATTTGACCCCTTTGGCTGCTTTTAAAGTTCACAAAAAGGAAATCTATGTTAACCCTGGGTTGTGTTCCTCCTTTGACCCCTCTCTGGGCAAAAGAACATGACCTCTTCAGTCACTGTTTTGGACTTCTAGCAGATAGGAGCTCCTTCATGGCTGGCTAAGCAAGGTCAAGTCATTCCTTTCTTTTAATGATTTTGAGATTGCAATCCATGCTTTTATCACTTTTAGACTTGATTGTTGCGATGCTTTATACTATGGTGTTAACCAGTCCTCCCTCACTCGTCTCCAAATGGTGCAAAATGCTGCCGCTTGTCTTGTCTTTGAGCATATAACCCCGGTACTGGCTTCTCTCCACTGGCTTCCAGTACATTTTAGAAATGATTTGAAGTTATTGATTTTTGTTTTTAAGGCTCTTAATGGTTTGGCATCATCTTACCTCACCAAATTAGTGCATTGGTACAAACCTACAAGGTCCCTCAGATCTTCAAGCCAATTTCTTTTAAAGGTTCCTAGGGCCAGATTTAAAAGCTGGGGTGACTGTGCTTTTATTGTTGCAGCCCCTAAATTGTGGAATAGTCTACCTTTTAATGTTAGATCAGCTACTGACCTGACTACTTTTAAATCATTGCTAAAAACTTATTTATTTGCCTTGGCTTTTAATACAATTAATTTACTGAATGTATGTCATCTGTGTGTCTGCGTTATTGTGCTATTTTATCTTTTTGCACTGATCTTATTTATTCTATTTTAGTTATTTATTGTAATTTTATTCTGCCATGTAAAGTACTTTGGTCAACTGGATGTTGTTTTTAAAGTGCTATATAAATAAATTTGATTTGATTTGGCTGTTGGAAATGACGGTTGGTGTTTGAAAAACGCTTCTTATAACCTTTGCTATGTGGTGGGCAGAATCACTATCCATACCGACTAATAAAACAAGTATCAAATGCCGGAATAACAGAAGGGCTATAAGCTGCAGAGTGGCGTGGAGGGAACCAGTATAGCTGAGAGTCACCACACCCTGTTCCACTTTCATTGGACTTATCAGGCAACATGCAAAATCTTAGTGAATGTACCTTTAAAATTCACATTATAGGCTAAATTGCATAAACATGTTTCCTGGTTATAATGTTAAGGAGTAAAGATTTATTTTCCTTTGCAAATGCAAAACTGCTAAAACATGACATCTATATTTTTAGGCATTGTACATTTGCAAAACTGTTGTCTTAGGTCCGCTATGAGATAGAGTCTAATCATCCTGAGTCATGGCAGTCTGTAAACAGCAGCACCTTTATGAACAGTTGTGACTCAAAGTGAATATAATCAGCATCATTTATGTAAATTTATATCTTGAAATAACATTTTTGTGCATGTTATAACTGCACATTTTCCACAAAGAAGACATTTAACACCCCATGCAGCCTGAACTGAGCGACTTATAA